CATTCCTGGGTGTTAACCCGATGTTGTTGTGATGAAATCGTTGAATTTCGGTAGGTGTTTGTTTTCAGTGCGTCTTTTGTCTGCCTTCCAGTAGATTCGTCTGCCATATTACTAGCTTGCTGATTTTATTTGCTTGGTTTGTTCCATGTGTTTGTTTCTGTATCTATGATTGACCGCACCTGTCTCCTCCTGCTTGCTCAATTTGGTTTGCTTGCAAAGTGTTTGTTTGCTTTTTTCTTTTATTTCTATTATTGTACTAGAAAATAAGAAAAATAATCGATTTATGAGCACGAATAATGGATTAAATTACTAGTTCAAAGTTCGTACTTATTCTTCGAATGGTTGACTATAGTTTTTAACTTAATATCATAGATGCTGCTTGATTTTTTCCCTCACAAACCGTGAGATATAATAGCTTGATTGTAATTGAAATCCTATTAATTGGCAAAAATTTGGGAATGTATGCTATTTTCTGGGTGATCACTAAATCCTTAACTTGTATTTTTCCTTATGAAGAATGATGCAGTTTTGCCTTCTTTAAAATTATGGTTTGTTTCTGAAGAGTTTGTTCAGTTTGTTGATGAGTTTGTGCTGTGATGTCTTAGATATTAAGAGGCAGAATGCAGTAAATTTGTTTTAAGCATAAGTTTAACAGCTCTAATAGTTAGCACAGGTTCTAGAGAACTTCTATCTGTCTGATAAAACTGCAAAATTTATTCTCGGTTCATGATCCATTATAACCCTTACAACATAACATCAATCTTATCTTTATGCGCTAATCTCAGGAAAGGTCATGGTAAAATGTTATAAAATAGTCAATAGGTGACCCAATAAGTGGTTCGACAACAATCTTAAATGTTGCGTTGTGGACTTTTGATATATTGTGACGCGGGGCCTATGGTGGACCAACCAGTCCTCAAAGGGAGGGGGACTGAAGCTCCTCCCTTTCCCTTCTCTTCCCTTCCGCTTTTTTCTTCTTAGCACCTTCCTAATATAAGTCTTTTCAAATCAGAATTTCTGAATATTTTTATTCCTCTTACTTAAATTCTGTGATCTAATTTTATTCTTCCTTCTTATTTTCAAAAGGCGTTTGTTTTCAGTGCGTCTTTTGTCTGCCTTCCTGTAGATTCGTCTGTCATATTACTAGCTTGCTGATTTTATTTGCTTGGTTTGTTACATGTGATTGTTTCTGTATCTATGATTGACCGCACCTGTCTCCTCCTGCTTGCTCAATTTGGTTTGCTTGCAAAGTGTTTGTGAGAATTACAAATGGCAGTTTGCTTTTTTTCTTTTATTTCAATTATTGTACTAGAAAATAAGAAAAATAATCGATTTATGAGCACGAATAATGGATTAAATTACTAGTTCAAAGTTCGTACTTATTCTTCGAATGGTTAACTTTTGACTATAGTTTTTTACTTAATATCAAAGATGCTGCTTGATTTTTTCCCTCACAAACTGTGAGATATAATAGCTTGATTGTAATTGAAATCCTATTAATTGCAATAGGTTAAGCAAAAATTTGGGAATGTATGCTATTTTCTGGGTGATCACTAAATCCTTAAATTATATTTTTCCTCATGAAGAATGATGCAGTTTTGCCTTCTTTAAAATTATGGTTTGTTTCTGAAGAGTTTGTTCAGTTTGTTGATGAGTTTGTGCTGTGATGTCTTAGATATTAAGAGGCAGAATGCAGTAAATTTGTTTTAAGCATAAGTTTAACAGCTCTAATAGTTAGCACAGGTTCTAGAGAACTTCTATCTGTCTGATAAAACTGCAAAATTTATTCTCGGTTCATGATCCATTATAACCCTTACAACATAACATCAATCTTATCTTTATGCGCTAATCTCAGGAAAGGTCATGGTACCCAATAAGTGGTTTGACAACAATCTTAAATGTTGCGTTGTGGACTTTTGATACATTGTGACGCGGGGCCTATGGTGGACCAACCAGTCCTCAAAGAGAGGGGGACTGACGCTCCTCCCTTTTCCTACTCTTCCCTTCCGCTTTTTTCTTCTTAGCACCTTCCTAATATAAGTCTTTCCAAATCAGAATTTTTGAATATTTTTATTCCTCTTACTTAAATTATGTGATCTAATTTTATTCTTCCTTCTTATTTTCAAATCCTTTCCTAAAATCTAAAATATGATTTTATTCTCCATTCTTATTTTGAAAGATGTTCCTAAAATCTGAAATTTGATTTTGTTCTTTTTTTATTTTAAGTATTGCCTAAAATAAAGTCCTAACCTCATTATAAATAGAGGATGATGTGTTTAGAGTTAGAGTCATGTTTTTTATATCTGATATCAGGCTTTAGCCTTGGTATTTTTCTTTCGAGGTCTGTATCCAATGTTGAGGTAGTGCTTCGGCTGCCTCTCGTTTGAGGTGGTGATCATCTCTAAGGCTCTGAGTGGTCCTCCGGCTGTAGCTCGACCCCGACGAGGTATTTATCTAACCATACTTCCGTTTCTCTGCTTCTATTTGAGAATCCAGCCGCTACAACCCCCTCTTCCACTGCTGCCAACCACCTTCTTGCTCCTGTCCAGCCACCGCAACCCCTCCAACTTACTGTCCAACCCTTTCAGGCCCTTCCCAGCAACTCGCTGACACCCCTACAACAACTACCTTGTTGTCCCGACCTTTCCCATCACTTCCAGTGCTTCCACACTTGCTATCCACCACTGGCCAACCTTCGCAACTGCTGTCCTACTTCTTCCATAGCAACACCCACCTCTTCGGCCTTCACCGCAGCCGCCGATCCAGCCTCCAATGACGTTCCTGCTTCTTTCCATCTACGGTTCTTTGTCTTTACTATCGCCAACCCGTTGTCCTATTTCTTCCACAACAACCCTCATCTTTTTGGCCTTCACCGCAGCCGCCAATCCAACCGTTAACTGCCAGACTCACTTCTCATCAAGCGTGCTGTGTCTTCTTTGTTAAGCCATTAGTTGTAATCCTTTGTTGTGTGCTTATTTTTTGTGTTTTTCTTTTATTATTTCGAGTCTTTGTAACATTGTTTTAATTCATTAGTACAATTGTGTCTTCCGTCGTGGTTTGGGTTAATTCCAGTATCATTTGACATCAAAGCTAGCCTAACCCCAGTCATATCTTAGGGTTTCTAGCATCTGTCACTACCCAATCCACCACAATAACTTTTTTTTTTCTTTTTTTGTACTATTTTCTTTTTTTGTTTCTTCTTTCCTTCTACAGATCCCAATTTCTAACCATGCCACCAATGAGATCTATTTCCGAACCTATCCGGAATGAGATACAGTGCGAGCTCTGCTGTTTTCAGCGGAGGCTTATGGATATTGAAAAAGAAACTCAATGAGAGAATACCTTTGATCGTGATCTGGAAGGCCGAAGAGAAGAACGAGAAAATATGAAGAAGATAAAACGAGAAACATAGTGCTAATTCATACCAATTTACTGCCGCCAAGGACAGACTTTAGCTTCCGAAGTATAGTGGCCGTATTACCAACAGACCTCCCTTGCTATTATCCAAAAAAACCAATTTGCAAGTCTGTCTCATCTATAAGATGTTGCAAGTGCCACGGATTTAGACATGTTGAAGCATAATGCAAAACCAAGGGAGTGATCTACTTCACCGAGCAGGGTATCATCGAAAAGTTGGGTAAAGACACCACAGACTCTGAAGAGCTCTTCGAATGAGAATTTTCATCCTATGACGTCTTCCCAGTTGGAACCCCCTTGCTCGTGGATATATCCAATGCCTATCCTTCATGTTATTGATGTGATTGTGGTTCCCGCTCTCCTAAAAGATGAATAACATTGTGTTGAAACTTATAAAAATCACGCTGACCAGAAGATGCCAAAATTTAAAATTTTAGTGGATGGTCTTAGTAATGACGAACTGATAGAATCACAAGTTGCTACACTTCCAACCCTCACCCCTAGTGTTTCACATGAAGAGACGAAAGGCCAGTGTGAAACTTTTATTATTGGAACACACCAGAAGATATCAGTTTTTCAAAACTTCAAGTGGCTAAGGAAAGTCCCGAAAGATAATAAGAATCACACATCAACTAAACTCTTGCAAATCTTCAACCTCGTTGAGACTCAACTTGTTATAGATGAGAAGCATATGAGATATTTACTTGTTAAGAATTTTGCTCGGGAGAACCTAAGTGGTAGTTTACTTCCGACTGAGATTATGCCAAATTAGAATGGATCAATCGGGAGGTCAATTTTTTATTTTTCATCAATCCAAAAGCTTATCGCTTCTCCAAATTTCAGTTTCGATTTTGATGCACATCGTGTTGTTGTTGGAGCTTATGCCAAACACATTTTTGTTGAAGAACTTGGTGCAAAAGAAAGCACCCTGTTAAAATTGCACGCCTAAGGAAGACTTCGGTGGGGGCCATCCAGACCCTAACTTGATTTATGCCAAGAAATTAATTGCACTGATGGATTGAGCAAATCAGACCCGCAAGGAGTTTGGTGCAGTTGCTTATAGTGATGTTAATCGTTGCATGATACTTGGTAAAATGTTCTTTGTGACTCTGTTTGATTCTTTTGCCATCATCGCTGCTAACGCTCTTCAGTCCATTCCTTTTCTTCAGGGCTGAAGGGTGTTGCCAGGATCATGCCAACCTTTGCAGTGCTTGATATTTTAGTAATAATATAAATATGAACTTTTTTGAGGTGCCAACTAGATGGAAATTCTTTGGCAACTTGATGGATGCTGGACTTTGTTCTG